TCATCACCATTCCCGTCATCCTCATCATCAACATCGTTACCGTCATCTTCAGTATCACCATCATCAGCATCATCAGCATCTTCATCATCAGCAGCATCACCGTCGCCATCACCATCATCATCATCAACAACATCAACATCATCATGATCATCATCATGGTCATCATCACCATCATCATCCTCATCCTCATCATCAACATCATCAGCATCATCGGCAGAATTACCATAGTCATCATTATACACACTATCGGTATCACCATCACCATCAGCATCATTTTCATCAGCATCATCAGCAGCAGCATCAGCATCACCATCACCAGCGTCAACATCAGCATCATCATCATCATCAGCATCATCATCATCTGTATCATCATCATCATCGTCCTCATAACCAGTAGCAGCAACAGCAGCGTCATTATCAGCGCCATCATCATCGCCACCGGCATCGTCACCTACACCATCATCAAGCATCACCACCATCACAAACATCGCCAACAGCATCATCATCGTGCTCATCACCATTATCATCATCAGAACCATCGTCACCACCAACATCACCTCCATCCTCATCTTGATCTTCATCGACATGACAAGCATCATTACAATCAGCTTCATCGTTCATCGTCATCATCATCATCACTCTTATCATCATCAGCAGTTGCACCAGCACCATCCGAACACTTCTAAGAAAAGTCAGCATCATCATCACCACCACCATCATCAGCTACTTGATCATTACCATCAGCAGCATCATCATCGTCATCGTCATCAGCAGAATCAGCATCAGCATCAGCATCATCATCATCACCATCAGCAGCATACTTATCAGCAACAATTTCATCCTCATCAGCATCGTCATCGTCAACATCATAATCTTCATGAGCAACAGCATGAGCCGCGGCGGCACCATCACCACCACTATAATCCCCGTCATGCTCATGAACAACATCATCATCAACATTAGCAACATCAGCATCAGCATCAGCATCATCACCATCACCATCACCATCAGCTACACCAACAACATGGTAATCAGAATCGTAATCATTATAATCATCATCATCAACACCATTATCAACGCCAACAGAATCGTCGCCAACATCGCCACCATTGTCACAATAACATCAAACAACTCAAAGGCATCAAAACCGTCATCACGATCACAATTACGAATGTCATCAACCTAACCGAAACAACATTAAACGCTTCATCGTCAGCATCAGCATCATCATCAGCATCATACTCATCAGCACTCATCAGCGTCAGCATCGACATCGTTATCCTCATCATCATCCTCAGCAGCATCAGCGTCATGAGCGTCATCATCATCATCAGCATCACCAATATCGTCGTCATCATCGGCTTCAGCACCAGCATCAACATCATCGTCACCATCATCAGCATCATCAGCACCATTGTCATCAGCACCACCATTACCAGCGACATGATCATCAGCATCACCAGCATGAGCAGCATAATCATCATCAGCAGCAGCAGCAGCATCATCATCACCATCAGTGTCGTCATCATCATCAGCAGCAGCAGCCTCATGGCCACCATATTTGCCAACAGCCTGATCACGATCATCAGCAGCATCGGCATCACTATCACCATCACCAACAATAGCAGCATCAGCATCAGCATCCGCATCCGCATCAGCATCAGCACCATCAGCATCAGCATCGTAAGCATAATCGTAATCGTAGCCACCGTCATCATCTGCACCAACAACATCCGTACCAGAAACACCGTCCTCATCACGACGTCACCATCCTTCTAGCGCCATCGACATCGTCATCATCAACATCATCATAGTCAGCCTAACAGCACCATCATCAGCACTACCATCATCTCCATCTGCATCATCATCATCATCATCAGCAGCAGCAGCATCATCATCATCATCGACATTGACATCACCGCCACGACCAGCATCGTCACTAACACCATACAACCATCATCACCATTATCATCACCATCGTAATCGCAACCGTCAGCACCATCATCGTCATCATCAGCACCATCAGCACCGTCAGAATCACCATCAACATCAGCATCAGCATCAGCATCATCATCATCATCAGCAACATCATCATCATCTTCGTCGTCAGCACCGCCTTCAGCACCACCATCATCATCACCAGTGCCAAACATCATCATCACCAACATCATCATCATCAACATCATCATCATACGCAACATCGTCGTCAACATCATCAACATCATCATCACCGTCACGGTCACCATACTGGTCCTCCCGCAATCATCTTCATCACCACCGTCCGTCTCCCCATCCTCTTCAACCTCCTCGGCTCATCGTATAATCATATGCCGTGACCATTGCTGTTGGTCCGCCCCCTTACGCAATCTCCACATCGTTATCCATCGTTCCGCCTTTGCTCCCCCTCCTCCTGCCACTCATCCTCCTCCTCCTCCTACTCCTCCTTCTTCCCCCACGACCAATCCTCTCCCGCCTCCCTCATCGCCCCCAACGATGGAAG